CCACAGTGTAATTTAACCTGCTAAACAAAAACAAATTGAGAAACATTGTTTTTGTTTTGCTTTATAATTTTTGGGAATATTTGTTCATGAGAAATTCGCAATAGGGCCGATTATCTTTGCGATTGTCAACATTTTCTATGCATTTGCCAAAACGTTTCACTAGTCTCAACAGTAGGGCTCGGAATCTCATGCACTAAAAAATCGAAAATATGCGCATATAATATGCACTCAAAAGTCAAAAATATGCGCTATAAACAAGTGAAATATGCAATTAAAAATATTTTCCTAATATTTTGTTGTCGCACATAGGGACGAATCGACAATATAGGACGACAAAAATGTTTACTCCATATGTATTTGACAGATTTCAATGAAATTTGGTATTCAGGGATATTCATCATTGATTTCGAATATTAAATTAAATTTCCAAAATTCACAATGGCGGATCCAATATGGCGGACGAATTCTTAAAAAATGTTTATATTGTTATGAAGCTTGGTGTCCAGAGATTTTCGTCGTCACTGATTTCGAAATTGATGTTCAATTTTCGAAAATCAAAATGGCGGATCCAATATGGCGGACGATTTCTTCAAAAATGTATCTATTCGACAGATTTCAATGAAATTTGTTAATTAGGGATTTTCGTCGTCACTGAACTCGAATATTAAATTAAATTTCCAAAATTCAAAATGGCGGATCTAATAAGGCGGACGATTTATTAAAAAATGTATAGGTTTTTATGAAGCTTGGTATCCAGAGCTGTTCGTCATCACTGATTTCGAAATTGATATTTAATTTTAAAAAATCAAAATATATTGTTATGAAGTTTGGTATCCAGAGATTTTCGTCGTCATTGATTTCGAAATTGATATTATAATTTCAAGAATTCAAAAAGGCGGATCAAATATGGCGTCCCGAACAATAGGCGTTTTACTTTTATCGCATTGCATTATCTTTAGCACCATTTGAACCTATTTTGAATTTTGAAAATTTAATTTGAATTTCGTAATCAAAGATAACGAGGATTTCTGAATACCAAGTTTCATAAAAAAAAGGGGGACGAGTTCGTGATATTTTTACATTGACAATTTGTTGGATTTTCGAACTGTTGAAAAGAAATTGCTGTACTCGTTGGAACTTTTTTTATAACTGTAACTAATATAAAAATTTAAAAATTGTTTCAATAAAAAAAGGAAATTTATAAAATACGTATTATACCCATTTTACAAACAACTATACTACTAAAAAAAAATCGCAAAATAAAGTACATACCTCATGCCTCACTTTCCATGTGGACAAAACCATTAGTTGTTAATAAGAATAAAATGACAAGCGAAACAATTTTATCATCGCTTCAAACAAAAAATTATTTAATTCGACGCACAATAGTAAACCCAACTTTGCGCTTCTGCTAAAGCTGCTGCGTTGCGTTAAAAGCCAAAATTTGTGTGTTGCAATGTGGACTGATTTATAAGGAGTATTAGAAAGTTAAGTGTGATAAGATTTAAAGACTTTTGTTTTTCTACTTTTGTCGTCGTAAATAGTCACTTTGTCCTTATGTGTGTACGTACAAAAATAAATAACGAATGTATTGTCACAAGAAAATAACGATAACAATTCACTTCAAAATACAGCACATATTTACGTATGAAATTAGTTTATATTAAAGCAGACGTTACAATCTTGTTTAAATAGAAACATATTAGGGCTGTTCAGGATCTTGTGAATATGCTCTTGCATTTGCACATTCGCTGTATTTGTAAATTCACAGCAATAAAATGCACACGGTTACCATGGCAGCAACCATAAAATTTACGAATACAATTCCAACTGCAAATCCAAGACCATTTCAACATCATCCTGAACAGCCCCACGATCCAGAAAATAAAGGTCGCGCCATTCGCGGACCGCTAACCCTCTCTTCGTCGATTTGACAGCATCCACTTAATCGCTGACGTCATAAAATACTTTTGTTTACATTCTCTGTTGCCAACTTCATGCTTTTCGCACCAAATTTAGTGGGTATTCAAAACGCGAACATTTTTGAGTTTGGTGCTTGGCGCGTTTTTGGTGCTTTTGTTTTTAGTTTGAAGACACCAAATTAGAAAATCTTAAAAAAAAATGGAAGCAAAATTCATAGCAATCGTAAGTGTGGTAAGCAACTTTACAAAACTTTAAACAAAATCATGGCACAGTGACAGTCATAAGCGACAACAAAATATGTGAAAGCACCTTCAATCATGCCAGAAGAAATCAACCGCCGTGCAAGAAACATTGATTTATATTAATTTGAATCGGCATCCTTACAATAAAATTATGTATGCATATAAAGTCTATAAAATACACCAATACAAATTTGGTGCTTTTTCAAATTCAAAATTTGGCAATACCGCCTTTTGTCCGATGCTTCCTCTTTTTCTTGTCAAGTTCGTCTTGCTCTCTCATTCTGGTATTTATTGACGTCACGGCCAGTTGCTCTCAGCTCGATTGGCGCAATCTTGTATTCTATCATTCTTGGAACAGCCCTAGTTGTTGTTGTTGTAGCGGCTACAACAACTCCGCCCAGATCGGTTGATATCTCAGTCGTTGTCGTCGAGTTCCACTAAGGGCAGCCCTAAAAAGCGTGCAGCCTCGACGGGGTCGGTACACAGGGACAACGCCGTTAGGGTTGTCGGGTTTTCCTGGCATGCGAAGAGATGTTTCGAGTCGTGAGGGATCTCTCCGCATGCCGGACACTCATTTGGCACATCCTCATTTAGCCTACTCAGGTATGAGTTTAACCTGCTGCAGTAGCCAGAGCGAAGTTGGGCTATTGTTGTTCTTGTCTCCCGAGGCAGATGGAGCTCCGTCGCGTCAATTCCCGGTGTTTGTGTGCCTAGAACGGCATTCACAGGTCTAGAGTCTACATAACTCGAGACTGAGTCCCTGTGAATGCCGTTAAGGGCCTGTCGCTATGCTGACGGGTCCAGAGGCTGCTTAATGAACCTCCTGACGTGTCTAGGCGAGGGCTCCTCTGCAAGCAGCTGTCTGTTTGGGCGGCCGCATCTGTGGCTCCCAACCAGAAACTGCTTGCAGAGCATTATGTTATGCTCCCTAATTGGGAGCATTTTCGCCTCGTCATGGAGGTGGTGTTCGGGTGACATCAGGAGGCATCCGGTCGCTGTCCTGAGTGCGGTGTTCTGTGCTGTCTGTAGCTTCATCCACTGCGTCCTACTAGTCCCCGGCGATTCTTTGTCTTTGCCCCAGGTACTGCCGGCTAGCGACTTGAGGTCTTTGTTGCGGCTCTGTTCTTTGTTGACAATAGCGGTAGCGTGCGCAGAGAAGGAGAGCAGGCTGTCGAATGTTACTTCGAGTATTTTGGGGTTATTCACCGTCGGAATTGGTGTATCATCGACGTGAATTCCCAGCGGTAGCCTGACCTCCTTCGTCCAGGTGGTGAACAAGGTCGCGGAGGATTTCGTAGGGGAGAGGGCTAGACACTTTGCAGTGAAGAAGCGAGAAAGATCGGAGAGATACCCGTTTACTTTCGAACACAGGTCATCAATTCCATTCCCAGTCGCCATGATCGAGCAATCGTCGGCGTAAGAGACAATCGAGACTCCCTCTGGTGGTTGAGGGAGCTTTGAAATATAAAAGTTGAACAGTAGCGGGGAAAGGACACCACCCTGTGGAACCCCCTGTTTGATTTTCCTAAGTTTGCTCGATTTGTCTCTAAACATTACCGACGAGTGTCGACCACTCAGATAATTTGCCGACCACCGTTTGAGCCTCTGTGGGAAAGAGGAAGCCTCTATATCTTCTAGTAGCGTGGAATGGCTGACAGTGTCAAAAGCCTTTGACAGGTCCAACGCTACTAGAGTCGTTCTCTCACAGGGACGGTTACGGTTAAGGCCACGAGTTATCTGAGTGTTTATGGCGTTAACTGCTGTTGTTGTACTGTGCACTTTACGGAAACCATGCTGATGCTTCGCTGGAGTCAGGTGGTTCGTGAAATACGGGAGCAGCAGGGCCTCAAGTGTCTTCGCTACCGGAGAAAGGAGTGTTATCGGTGGATACGAATCTCCTTTGTTCCCACGACAGCCGGTTCTACGTACCGGAATGACTCGTGTTTTACCCGACCACAAGGGCTGTTGTTTCGGCGATCTAACCGCGTTTAGGTCGGCGAAGTATCTCAGAACATCCCTAGTGTTTAATAGTGGTTCAGATGGATGTTTGGTTGGTTTAAGTCGATTGTCATCGTGGTGACAAGAATGCCATTTTGATTCCACAACTCGTACCACCTGCAGTCATTTGACGGCTTTAATAAATTTTTGTACGTCATTCAGAGAAAGGCAGCTGCATTCTAAAACATTCTTCAGGAATGGCTTGGCGAGTGTCTTAAGCCTCATCCTTGCGAGGGCTGGATACTCGCACAGTATTTGAACGTTTCTTTTAAGCCAGGGTCATCGCAACTGCGATAAAACCTGTTGAAGGGCAGTCCAATCCTTTCGGCATGTACCCTAACGGGCCAGTACTCTGCAGTAAGTTGGTAGGTATCTTCTTTGTTCATTCCTAAGCGAGCTTTGGTTTTAAGTGGGTCGTATGACACCCAGAACTGCCGGGTAATCCTGGACGATCCTGTACGGTTCCACCTTTTGCTTGCTCTTCAAGTGATAAATTTCAGTAATTTTTGCGTGGGACACATTCAGTGCGGAGCCGCACCTTGCTTGTTCGTCCGCTTCCTCGTTTCCGTAAATGACCCTATGTCCCGGCACCCATATTAAATCAGTTTCGTATTGATCAGAGATATAGGCCAGCTCTCCTATAGTCCTCCATTAATTGAGATCTAGCAGAGGTAGAAGAGAGTGCCTTAATGGCCGCTTGGCTATCCAAATAGAAGAATATTTGGGAAAAGATTAAAGGTAATTTTTTTTTGTCAAGAGATTTCGCACTAAATTTAAATGGTTGTAAAACAAAAAGAGCAAAAATATGCAAAAACCATATGCATTTATTGTAAAATATACTAAAATATGCGCATTAGGTATGCAAAACAGGTATTTTTTCCAAAATATGCACTACCATGCATTTACTGCAAAATATGCACTAACGATTGAATGCCATTTTGAAGGAAATTTCATGATAACTTAACCATTTCCATTTGAAGATGCCCAATAAAAAAAATGCATTTGCATGAGATTCCGAGCCCTACATATCAGCTAGTGAAATTTTATTCACCTCATACTTGTCAAAAATTTACTCGCAGCGAACTTTGTTACCGATTAACATACGCTCTATATTTCCCTTTTGGGTGTGTCTACATAATTTTCAGGGGAAAAACGGTTACAGAATTTTGAGCATCAACTTGTATGAAGCGGCCCAATTGAGCGACGGTGACAATGCCTTCAAAGATCCATATGATTACATCAAATTTAGAAGCAACGTATAACTGCCTACATAGAAGAGTACGTGTTTATATATTTACATACTCACCTACCGCTTTCGCGTTAACAATAACAGCAGAAATAAAACTAGATATACATAAATACATATTTATCAGGTAGGATTTTGATTATCGATATTGAATTTTTTATCATTTGTGGATTCCATATCAAATTCTTTGATCAACAGCCTTCCATGCGAAGTCAGTTTCATATTGGCTCGTATGTTAAATTTTATTTTTATTTATTTAATGCTTTATTATTGTTTGGTTACTATGCTTTTGCAATGCGGCAATGCTTAACACGCTGTATTTGTTACTTAACTTATTTTCATATATTTAGTTAAATTTCATTTAGGGATTCCTCAAGATGTCAATATATTTACGACTCAACCAGACTCAATTATGGTACTGTAAATCGATTCAATAATTTCACTTTAAGTTTTTAATACTCCTAGCAGCTGGTTTTTTTCGTATTAGCTGGTATAATATGTACATATATGTATTCCTTGGGCATTTTTTGTATCTATTTCAAGAAGCACATGTTTTAAATTCATGAAACTTCCTGTCATCAAGCTGTGATTGTTAATAACACTGGTTTACAGCAAAATTGTTCTGTGCATGCCACTATCAAATTCCTATGTAGAATTGCTCGGTGATTCCTAAAATGAAGTTTTTTTTTCTATGGATACGTTTTTAAGATATTTTCAATTTAGCGTTATTCTGCTTAATGCAAAAATTTGTTCCTTTTAATCACGTATATCTTACGAACCAATAACAATCTTAATATAAAATGCGGCAGATGAAAGCTAATAAATTTCTCCATAAACCGTAAATACATCATTTTCCGATAGGACTTATAGTTTCTGACAAATCTAATAATCATTCCATTTATTTCTTTTTTATTGGAATCATTAAAAAATCAAACTTTAACAGAAGAAAAATTAAAAAAATAACGGGTTCTGTGCCAAATTTTTGCATTTGTGCTAATGCCTGCTCTGTTACAAAAAAAACATCAAATTACTAATGAAAAAAATCGATGAATAAATAAGAAATAATGAGTGGTCAAATGAAAATACGCAAAGATTTTTTGTATGAAAAATAAGCAGGAAATAAAGTTACTCATACGCCACATACACCTGAGTAACACGCTTTTCTGCTCATATTTCATACAAAAAATCTTTGCGCATTTTCATTTGACCACTCATTATTTCTTATTTATTCAACGATATTCTTCAGTAGTAACTTAATTTTTATTTGTAACAGAACAGGCTTTAGCACAGGTGCAAAAACTTGGCACAGAACCTGTTATTTTTTAAATTTTTCTTCTGTTAAAGTTTGTTTTGTTTTTCACTTTTTTATTCAAAAATAAAAAAACTGGAATGACTAATTAATTTGTCAGAAACTATCAGCCCTATCGGAAAGCGATGTATATATGGTTTATGGAGAATTTCACTAGCTTTGATTTGACGTATCTTCTTTTAAGATAGTTAAATTGGTTCGTAAGATATGCGTGATTAAGTGGAACTACTTTATGTTTTGAGCTGAATAACGGTAACATGAAAATATCTTAAAAACGTATCCATAGAAAAAAATTTACTCGATTTTCGGAATCACCGGGCAATTCTACATTGAAATTGGATAGTGGCGTCTGGAGAACAAAAACCAAACTAAAGTTTGTAATCCAGTGTAATTAATATACGGATATAAAAGCAACTAGACATTGTCCACAATTTAATCCTTTCGAATGAATGTTCTCCCCCTGCAAAAACAAAAAACATAAAATTATGTTACAGTTCCAAATGAGTCGAAATTTGTATAGTGTGCCAAAATTTTTTCCAAGGTCGAGCTTTGTTTGTGGAATTTGACCATTTATAATTTACTTATTATAGGTGATAATTGTTTTCGAAATTGTTTGGATTTTGTTTATTTTCTCGTGATTGGAATGAGCTTGTTGCAAAGCTGTGTTATGTGTATGATTGTAATCAAAGTTTGATAAACTCATACAGTTGGTAAACAAAAAGACAGTTGAAAAGACCCATATCTTCGCCATTGTTGGTAAGTTTATTTATCTGTTAGACCGAACATATTCTCCTTATCATGTTAATTAATTGTATGATGAAATCTCAAAAAACAGAAATTTTTAAAAGTAATGAATTAATTTATTATTCAGTAAATATGTACGTTTCGTTCAACTACCCACTGGTGCATTAGAAAGTCGGAAATTTTTAATTACCAAGAGCGGATAAATTACGTATTACGAGCTGTAATATTTTATTTGTGTGAGAATGTATAAAAGTAATGAATAATTTCAATCACCCACACATAGGTAATTATTTTTCAAAAACATCTATTAGTATACATACGGCTCAAAATTACTGAAGTGGGGCCACTGATTTTTAAAGCGACAATTTTGGAAGTTATATCAATAATCTTATAGTAATTTCGGGTAAAAATTTTACCCTAGAGCGGGTTTGCAAAATTTAAATTTTTTCAAGAGATATTGTATAAACAATTTTTAAACATCTAATTTGAAAAAAAAATTATTTACCTTTTGTTTGATGGATTTTGCTAACTTTGGTATAAGTAGTATTATTGTATATTATACTTTTGAAAAAAAAAAAACTAGTCTGAACAATTATTTTTTGTAGGCAATTACGGTTCCTTGTTTATTTTTACGAACTAAAAAAATCAGTATTGTATAGTTGGTACTTGTTGCAAAGCTTTTTAATATAACTTGCAAAAATGTCGCCAAAAAAAATTTCGGGCCCACTTCAGAAATTTTGAACCATACAGGCATGTTCTGAAATTCGAAAATTTGAGATCGACTCGATTTTGACAATTTTTTCGATGGTTTTTAACCCAAAAATTTACAACTCTCGCATTAAAATGATTTCTTTCATATCGCTGCTGCTTCTTTTATGGTTTTCAATTATAATATTCACTATTTTATATAAGAATAACGTAAACAAAGTGGAATTATTCAAACTCATCGAAAACGATTCAAATGCAATAGCTATGTTAATATGTTCTATCAAAAACGTGAATGTGGTCTTTTGACGGCTTTGATCTCTCTAGTGTTAAAGCGATTGAGCAGTCCAGAATATTTTAAAAATTGCTAATAACCACCAAAAAATGTAGACAAAATAAATAAAAATGCGTGGAAAGCGTGGTATTTAACTTTTTTTTAATAAGCAGAATTGGTATAAACAACCTGGAGAAAATAAATAAAATCTAATCAATTTCGGTCAGTGTAAGTTTTGGACAATGTTTGAAACTTGTATTTATTTAGTTTTTCTTATAGCGTTGACTATAGAGGCATTTCATGTCACCGCGGCCACCTCTGTGCGCGACCTCTAAGGATTTGGATGAAGATTTGAAGAGATTGAAGGTCTAGGTGACATGAATATACTACGTGCGGCATGGGGGTACGTCCCACGACAGTCGGGTCTACGTAACCGGAACGACCCAGATTTATATCTGGCCAAGGACTGTCAAAAACTCAGTGGGGAACGGGGAACTTGTGTGCTGCTACAACAACAACAACAACCAATGGGGTAAGAATAATTTAGAGAAAACCAAGGTGCTGTATGCGTCCAAGAGTGACTAAAATGAAGTTAAGCAAAAGCTTCAAGATAGATTCGCAAACACACAATATATTCCAGGAACGCCCAAAAACACTCATTGCAAAAGAATATCCGACTCCAATGATAGCTTCAAGGTTAGTCCTTTTATTAAAACAAGAAAAAGGAAAGGAGTGTAAAGAAACAAATCTAATGAATGGCAAAATTATAGTTTAAAAAAACCAACAACACGCTTTTAATACACTAAGAACTAAAAAGAAAAAAATTATTTATTGATTTAAAGATTTGTTTAAGAAGTATATGAAGTTCCCTAACTTGATGTTATTTAACCTTTTAAACTAGCTTAATATAGGATTAAAGTAATTGGCACGTAGTCATAGTCGAAATAAAGTCCACTGTAAAGTTAGTTGCAGTTATTTTTTACAGACATCCCATTGGAAACATACAGCACCTTCTTTTTCTCTAAATTATTCTTACTCCATTGGTAGAAGGTTTCGGGTGTACGAATTTTTTGTAACGTCAGGGGTTGAAGACTTGCTCTAGCAATTTCATAAAATTTCAATGTCTATTTATCACATTGCTCGAGCGTTAGACGATCTAGAGTCCATACGCCTAAGTATTTAGCCCATTATGCCCATTTAGGTACTTAAAGTTGGCATTATATACAATGTTTTTATGTAAAAATAAAAGATTTTCAAAATGCTATAAAAAATCAAAAGCCCATAATAAGACGGAAGAAATAAATTTTTGTTCATTAAGTTTCGTTAAAAGGTTTCCAAGATACAGCACTTTAAAGAAAGGTATGTATGACGTTTTCTTAAAATTCAAGCCCCGTGTAAATAGGCAACCCTATGTCATATCGGCAAAATATGCTGCACGTATATTCATGTCACCTAGACCTCCAATCTCTTCAACTTTCATCGAAATCCTTAGAGGTCGCGCACAGAAAAAAAAATATTTCTTTATAAAAAAATAGTGTTGGTAGTGTTATGCCTGGTCGCCAGTATAGCTTTAGCTCCGAAAATAATTCGAATTTCGAAAAATTGTCAAAGTGGTATTTTTTATGGTTGTGAACCAGAAAAAAATGAGTTCCACAACGACCATCGAAAAAATATTGGCACATTCACAAGTTATAAAATATTTGGTATTAGAGAGATTCAAAATTGGAACTTTTTTGCATTTCGACTGAGAACTTGAAGATAAGAGTGAAAACAAGTTCCTTCTAAAATTTCAGCTTAGTTGAACAAAATTTAGAGAAATTTAGAGGTCGCTCAACGCTGTTGTTTGTTTTCCGGAAACTACAGATTTTAAAAGCATCTTTATAAACAAGTAAGTATATTTTCATAAAATCTTGTCGGATTTCGCTGAAATTTCGTAGGTAGGTTCCAAAATTTCAGTTTATTGGATCACAGTTTATATAAGTTCGATAAATTAGTTTTAAACATATTTATTAATTAGTAAGTAACTAATTTTTGCTTTATAAACAATTAATATTTGCAATAATTTTTTTTTTTATTCTTTAACCACTGAGCATATGCTAAATACATCTAAGATCACATTATAATTCATATCAATAGTGGACCTCCACAATTAAAATGAACTAATTGTTATTTGTAATGATAGCGAAGAAAACCTTTTTCTATATTTTCTTTGCGATGTTGCTTTGACCAGGGCTTGAACCCAGGCCTTGCGCAGTGATAGCGCGCATTGCTAACCACTTGCCATTCTTCAATTAAGTTCTGTAAAAACATTCTTCTAAAATACTTATATTTTTGTGACAACATCAAGGCACACACCACAAATTGGAGGAGAAGCTCGGCCAAACACTTGGCAAAGGTGTAAGCGCCAAAATATTTTTATTATACTATTAATATTTACAATAACTAGGAAAACACCTGGATGCAACATGGCGTATAAGTGATATTTATGTGGTGTTTTTTTATTTGATGTTTAATAATATTTAATGATGAGGTCCACTATTGATATGAATTATAATGTGATCTTAGATGTATACTACATATACTGGTTAAGGAACAAAAAAAATATTGCAAATATTAATTGTCTATAAAGCAAAACTTAGTTACTAATTAATAAATATGATAAAAACTAATTTGTCGAACTTATATAAATTGTGTTCCAATAAACTGATATTTTGGAATATACCTACGAAATTTCAGCGAAATCCGACAAGACTTTATGAAAATACACCTACTTGTTTATAAAGATGCATTTAATATCTGTTGTCTCCGGAAAACAAACAACAGCGTTTAGCGACCTCTATATCTTGTTCAAATAAGCGGAAATTTTAGAAGGCCTCTTATCTTCAAGAAATCGAATGTCCTCAGTCCAAATTCGAAAAAGTTCCAATTTTGAATCACCCTTATGGGAATTCATCTAAACTAGAGGTGCGCACGGGACCTATTAGTACTGAATCTTGATCCCGCCCATACCGAAACAAAAATTTTAAGTCCCGAACCCGCCCATCCCGACGTTTTTCAGAATTGTACCGCGGGTGCTGTGGGTCCCGAAATCTATCACAAAGAAAAAATTCACACGACTTTCAAATTAATTTTAAATTAAAAAAAAATTTAAAAAACGTAGCATCTTCCGATTAATTTTTTTTTGCTTTGCTGTTCGTTTTCGTCTCAATAAAACATAAAAAAAATTCATTATTTTTCATAGCGGTCACCAAATTTTGTGTCACTTTCGATTGGCTTCAAATTTTTTTTATGGGTTCTATACATGACTTAAGGGGCTTGTTCGAAGCACGTAATAAAAACGGCATTACTGCCGTACTGATAACAAATGGCAACATTTTTGCAACTGCCCAACTAATAATACATTGCACACAGAACGTGATACTTTAATAATTCGCGCAACAATGCGGTTCTGATTGCAACTCTAACAAGCCCAATCTAACACGTGATCGAGGAATTTTGGTTTTGTTTTTTTCTTTGGAGATATGATCTGTCAAAGTTTGCATTTTTTCGCGATTCTGACTAATCATGTCCTGCTTCAAGTCGTTATATCTCGGGTTCTGCCCATCTAGAGACTTCATCTTAACGCCGTCTTAAAGCTAAAGAAACGGGCTTAATATTTTTATATATAAGATGGTCAAGATTGTGCTAAAGCTAACTTGGCTATTAACAGTTGAACTTTTTGAAGTTGATTTGCATAGTGAAGACCAGTAAATTTCAAGAACTGTTTTTAGAATATTTTTTTTTTATGACGAGATGGTTTATTTCGTGAGAATCAACAATTTTTGTTATTTGCTTTCCAAAACTTATGTTGAGATATATTTACTAAGGTGTTAAACATCGTGTTTTTGCAAGAATTTAAATTTTATTGCAGATTCCCATAGAATACTTGTGTATCCAGGTATAATATTTGTACGGCGACAAACCCCTAAAAATGGGCGTGGCAATTGTAGGACTAAAGTTTACAAAATGCTGATTTTATTGCAGATTTCGGCAGAATATCGCTTCGTTAACTACATTTGTTACACAACGTTTTCAAGGAAAACAAAAATTAAAGTTCTGGCACCTTCCAACTATTTCGTTTTGCTTTGTTGTTCGTTTTCGTCTCAATAAAACATAAAAAAGTGCATATTCCATACAATATTTTTAAAGAAGATTTTCTGAAATTATGGAGATTGTGAATTTAACGGAAGTGGCGGGAAAGGATTTTGGTCTCGTCCCACGCGCAAAATTTTTACGGACCTTCCCGATACTACATACCCGGCCCGAAATCAGTACCGTGGGTCCCGATATCCCGCGCCCATCTCTAATCTAAACGTTTAAATGCCTCGTAGAACCGTAAACCTCGTAAATAAAACAGTTTTCCATAGAAAATTAAGTAAGTTTACAAGGTTTACGTGGTTGCCAGGCATTTACGCGCTTATATGACACACTATATGAAAAAATTTTTAGTCAAATAAATATAAAATTTATCAACTTACGTTATTGTTTTCTTTTCCGTATTTTTCGTTGCCGGTCTGGCACGATTAAGTACTTTCAGGAAGTCTGAAGTTTTTGCGCGCATTCTAGAATGAATGTACGCTTTTGAACACTGAAAAATTAAAGTCAGTAATTTTGTATTTAATTTCAAAAGTATGGCCCACCATTACTGCACCGAACTTGCCTTAATATGATAGTGTAAATAATCTCGGAACATGTGTATTAGATTAATGGTGTTACCCCGTGTCGCCTTGCTAGTATGTCGAGGGAAAAGAACTGAAAAGAGAAGACCCAGGACACAAGAGTTTATATGTTATAGTATCTATAAATATATTAAAATATGCGTATCTCGGAATTAAAATATAAATGGATTAACTTAATGTTTTATCTTAAAAATACGTAATTCGACGCATCCTCCAAGAAATCTGTATCTGAACTGAAGTTTAAAACAAAAAGATGGTGTGTGGATCCCACGTGCGACTGAAGTGAAGCTTCCTTCTTCCTATTAACCGCACAGCTCACCAATTGCATGAGTATGTTTTCTGCATAATAATGAACAATTATCTTAATCTCAACCAGGGTTTCCACTTTGGTATATTATTACCAAAATTTATAGAAAAATTTGGGATGGTATAAAGGTAAATTTTGTTTCGTTTTGCTAGATTTTTGTTAAAGTATTTTGTTTGAAAAATAAATAAAGCTTTTCGTTCCAGCTTTATTTTACGTAGTTATCTTTGGCGCATTCCATGTAAAATAGGAAAACGACATAAATTTTAAAATTCCGTTATTTATTTATATTTCTGTAGTAAGATATAGCTAAATGACTATATGTCATTAATCTGTTGAAAAATATTAAAAAAT